AAACTAAAGTATGTAGAAACTTATTTTGCAGCTACACACATGTCCTTGTACGCATACACTCGTTTATATAATATATATTAGTGTTTGAGTATGTGTAGATATCTGTGTCTGCAGTTTTTGTTAATTGCATAAAGTTTTTTGACGTCCATTTTACAAACAAGCTATCAGTTTACTTACGTTATTTACAATAAATATATGTAAGTTAATGCACTTTATTTTCTTTAGACATTCTTTTAATATAAGTTTACTAGGAGACAAAATACGAGAATATTTACATATCGCTACAAAAGTTTAAGTATTCAAGATTTCTTTTAGAATGCTTATAGAGCCAGCTATATGTTTAATAATTGATTTGAAGTGTCGCCCTCTCTGGCCCCAAAGAGTTGGTTAGTTTATATGAATGCTTTTACTTTCAATTTATTTTCAACGATATTGCATAAAATTCAATTATATTTTGGTATATCTGAGAGAAAAATTTCTATTTCTGTCCAGTCATGAAACTCGGGAAGGCTTTTTCACCTAGTGTGAAATTCAAAAAATAAATTAATTTGCTATTTTTTGCATATTTCGACAGACTATACCTTTAAAAATATCATGCTTAAATTTTACATGAATATTTCAACCGGTTTTTGAGTAACAGTCTTCTAAAGTGTAGCCGCTCAGGGCTTCAATCACCATCTATTATAATTTTTAAACTTATTTTTCTCAAAACAGCACTTTTCGAATTCTCTACAGTGTTTACATGGAGGCAAATTATATAATAAGTAGTAATTTTCTCAGCATGTTGTGCTATAGTTCTTCATACAAGTATCTACAAACAAAATTTTGGGTAAAATTCCACTTTTCATATATTTACATATATATATATATATATACATTCTATAGAATGATTTTAAATTAGTAAGAGCTAAGAGAATTTAAAATAATTATTATGTATATTCTTTAATGTCTCAAATTAAGAATTTTATGGATGACCTTGAATTTAATGGGTTATCCGTTGACCGACAATGTAGTCTTAAAAAGTTGGAATATAGTTGAATTTCAATCTAGACCAACCTAGACTATTATTTGGCAAAGTACAAAGTCTTATGGGAAAATATCTTATTTCCTCGAAAGAATATTACACCAGTAATCTACAGTGCTTTTGTTGCCCTAGATATAAGATCGATTTTGGATATATTTGTGCTCATTGTTCATGAAACTGGTAATGATTTTGTAAGAAATGCTTTCGTATATTTTTTAATTATTATTTTGCATTACAGAAAATAAAAAACATGAACAAAATAGCAGATATCTTAATAATGTCAATTTTGTTTTGAAAAATATGGTACATCAGAGTAAAAAGAGAAAAAATTAACGAAAACATATGTTATATTTCACTAAAACTTATTTTATGAGCATTTCTTTCATAATTTGGTATTTAGTAGTTGCCTAAAAAATTTTTAACTATCAAGACAAACCTTTTCTTAGCTTCAATTTCTACAACACGCGCAACTTTGATAAAATCTGTCTTTCATTAATTGCTGTATTCAATATTAAACCTTTAAATTTTCCATACTAAGCTTCGGAAATTTTTTACTAATATTATTATAATTACTTTATCATTCCTAACTTGATCATGTATTAAAACACTGAGTTCATTTAAAAAACAAAAACTTTGACGTGAATGTTTCACCGTTCCATTTACTTGCACTGGTAAATTGTACCGATTTCTAGAAATTTAGCGACATCATTGTTTAAGAGAGCATACGAATTGCTTTTGCCTTTGCTTTTTTTCAAGCCTTAAAACTTTCCGCATAATATTTCGTTAAGAAACTTGAGTGTGGTTATTACGTGATGTTTGTAAGCGCGAAAAAGGTGCGCAGAACCCTGCCCATGACTGAAAAAAAATTGTATAGCTAACAAGCTGATAATTTATCCAAATATAAGATATGCATTAAACATAAAAACATTAGCACATTCAAGACTATTATAAAAAAAATCGTAAACTGGGCATTTAAAAACATTAAAATTTGCCAAGATATCCAGTGTAACAAACTTTATTTTGTTTTTTGTAGAGCTATGTTCATATATTCGTGTCAGTTTTCTACTTTTCATATTAAATATTTCGATGAAACTGCGTTTATGTTAGCTTCTTCGTAAGTTGGCCTTGATGTCAACCCATTCTAAATTATAAAGCCCAAACAACAAAAACACGCACAAGTTGATGGTGTTATCTATAATTTTCTCAACCATATTCACAAACTATTACCCCTCTTAGGGCATTAGTTTACTAAACCATAGAGTTAACAGTTGAATTTATAGTTACATGACACATTTTACTTACAAAATACAAAATTGAATATAATAGTTTTACATAAATAAATAAGCAAGGTTTTAGGGCAAGTAATGCGCCGGCCAGAAACACGTAAAGTTGAAATATTAGCAAAAACCCTCAAAAGCACACACTGCTATAAACTCCAACAAACTCATTTAAACGCATAGGTCACATATTTTAACAAATAGCTGCCTTAAAAAAAGAAAAAAAACAACAACAAATAAATATGTGGGAACGTGAGCAAAGTATGTTTGGCATCCACATACTTTGCTCACTACTACTAATATTGCACAAAATGAAAATTTATGTTGAAACTTGTGTGAATATTGATGCGAGTTGGCAAAGAATTGCCACAAAAATAATAACTTGTCTGTATTTTTATATGCATAAATGCGTTTGTATAGATGTAAGATGAGCATTTTAAATGTGACCACCGGGACGTATGAGTGACATTAATAATGTGGCAAAGCAATATGCCGCTACACAGGCAAGGAATGTCGGCTGAAGCAAACAAATATGTGTTATTGTCTCCGACTGCCTTATCATAGGCACGTGTGGGCGCAAATATATATTTACATATATACATCTATATATACTATACATGTCTAGGCAAACTTTATTTCACATAAATTGCTCTTACAAATTTAATGCTTTCAATTTAACACGTTTTTCGAATTCACTTAAAAACAATTTCCATTTTTAAAATGCTTTTTCAACTTTTCACTTAAATCAAACTGTCTACACATTTCAACACTTTTATGTTAGTTTAACCATTTCTGCACTAATAACACACAAGTCATATTTGTATTTTTTCGCATATATTCTATGGCACAAATATCATAAATAAATGAAAACTAATTAAAATACTGTCATTAGCCACAAATTGCGGAATGTTAGAATTGTGACAGCTGCAATTAGAATAAATTTAATTTAAAAATCATTCGTGTTGTCAGAGCTAAATATTGTGTGGTGCCACTTATATGGTTAAAATAGATAACAGTATTGAAAAAGGGTGAAAAAAAAATTCCAAGTGAAATTTTTTAAAAGATCAAAAATAAAAGTCTAAACAACAGATATCGATAACATTCGTGTATTATTATGATTTAAATATTTTTAAGCAAATAAAACCATGTAATTGTAACAGAATGTAACTGATTTCAAGAACTTTTTTTTCAACTTAATTAAAGTTATTTACAACGAAAGAGCATTTGAACATTTAAATTCATATTATACCATATTTGTGGCTTGTACACTTTTTATAAGAAATTTAATTAAATAATTTTTATTCATCAACTCAGTATCAGTTGTACGTATGTGTTATATCAGCTTTACAATAAAATTATATTTTTTGAAAATGAACACAATTGAAACCTAAGCAATTAAATTGTAATAGCTTTCCAATTAAATCGTCAAAAAACAAGTATATAAGTTAACTGTGGCTGCACCGAAATTTAAAAATCCTTCACAAGTGTATTTCTTACAACATAAAAGGTTATGAAAATATCTTTTTTTTGACTGTGAGCGGTCAGTTTGAATGACAGCTATATGGTATAATAGTCCGATCTGAACAATATGTTCGAAAATAATTGCGTTGCCTTTGATAATAATCGTTGCGAATTTACGTGAAGATATCGTGTCAAATAAAACGCTTTTCCATACAAGAACTTGACTTAGACCGGTATTTCTACACTATATCCTATTGTGAGAAAAGGACGTGTACAAAATTGCATAACTATATGTCAAACACTGGGGCACTAGTTAGTGTATATACGGATAGACAGACGGATACTTATAAATACTTTATAGGATCTCTGACTTTTGATCCTGGGTGTTCAAACTTCGTATAAAACTTGACATCCTGTTCAGGGAATGCTCAGCGGTTAAGCATGATTATTGAACTGTGAACCACACTGCAAATAAAATACTAAATATTGCCAGCATTTAGGCCTAAAGTCTTTTTATTATTGCTTGTAAATAAATAAATGAAACGCTTGTCTAAGCACTTAGTTATTTTGATCAACTATGTGCAGACAAATTTTCCAGCCGAGTTGATTTATGATATGGTGCCTTACAGACTCATAAAACTATGACCTCGGACTCCATGTACTAATACGTATGTGTCTATTGGTTTTGATAGCAGAGAACCGTTAGCTTTCTTTGTTAAAAGTTGAATTTAGTTGAAACTGAAATTCTTATGGTAAGTTTTTGACATTTTAAAATTTATTTTTCATTGCCTACCTGTAGGCTTAAATATTTATTAAATTGCTATTTACTTTTTGTCGAATAGAGAGAATTAAATTAAAGTGTTATCTCTTGCTTATTGTAGTCCCATACATACAAGCTGTTCAGTCTATTAGGTTAATGGTGCCATTTTATTAAAAGTTTGGTCTTGCAGTCTTTCCAAATATTATGTGCGGGTAAATGAACATTTTTGGCTACAGAGATTGATCTAGCATTAGTTATCTTTGTCATAGCATGAGAGAAAGAGCTAGATTTTCAAAAAAATTGTAAAACAGTAAAGTGTTGTTATTTTGCAATTTGTCATTGCCTACATTTGGGCGAAATACTAATATTGCCTTTCTAATAAAATTTAAAGAGCCTCACCTTCAAATTTCAAATTCTTCAACTTTTGTGATCACTAATTGACAAACATTATGTTCAGCGGTCAGTATTGTCTACTTACCTGCGCTATTTGTTGTATTCGAAGCATTCGCAGCCCCCACAGACGTCGTCGCTAAATTCGCATTCGCATTGTTAGCATTCAATGCATTACTGCCCGCTGTACCGGCAACGCTACCATTGAGTAGCGTTGTTGTTGCATTGGTGCCATTCAAATGTTGTTGCTGTTGTTGTGCCATAAGTGCTGCATGCACCTCGTTTTTATTGGGAAAACTTAGGCGATGCTGCTGATTATCGATCGTCATTGGTGAGATGAGCGTTTGATTACTGCTGCTGCCATTCGAACTGAGCGGCGAGACACTGTCACCGGTGTTTACACTAGGTGTGATATCTACAACCGTTGTTGTTGTTGCGGTCGTTGCTGGGGTAGCCGCAATCACTGAAGTTGTCGCTGCTGCAGCGCGTTTGGTGTACACGAGTGGCGCTGCTGGCGTAGTTGACTGTAGCGTGGTGCTGCCGCTCGATAAATTGGCAGCGGAAGATATAGTCGAAGCTGTAACAGTTGTTGTAGCGCTAGCTGTCGTTGCACCTTTGCTATTGGAGGCTGGTGTGGCAGTGGCTGCACTGTTGCTAAAACTTGTGTTGTTACCAATAGTACTGTTGCCGTGGTCCAGTGATAATATCGGTTTTAACGGTTTATTATTGTTGATCGTTTTTTCGTTTATCGTTGCTATGCACGAGTCGAGGGATTTGATATTTTTCTATAAGCAAGACAAAAAGTTGTGTTGAATATATTGGTATTTAGTTATTTTTGTGCTAATGTAGGTTTCTAGATAATATGTTTAAAGCAATCAGAAAATAGGTAAGAAAACGTGCAATTAATTATTAGTGGATTGGTATATAGCAGATATTATCTATATTTCAGTAATGGGATATGGTTACAAAAGCTGTATTTTGTACTGTCCCGCTTCGACAGTCGACTGAGTATACTTCTATTTTAAGAAAACATGTAGATAAACCTCAAAAGTAGAGTACCCTTCTAGCCTATTTTTGAATTTCTACCGGGCCAGAAATAAAAATATGAGCGAAAAATTTTTGAAGAATATAGTTGAGTTAGGTGCTGCGCCTTTATTGCTCATAAGATACTTTTAGATAAAAAGACGAGGTGGTATGATATTCGTATTAGATCATTAGATATCCCACACGTCTAGACTTTAGGTTCTTTTACTTTCATTGATTTGCGAAAGTCCTGCGATTTGTCGTTTAGCAATAACAGATACACACGAGGTTGGCAACATCGTTAACACCCACGGTAGCAGAAGAAAAAGCTAAACAAGAGCGCTGAACTTCTAAATTTGTGTTCATCGCAGCTTTCCGAATCTCAGATTTAATTCGTCAGTCTTATTAGTAGATCCCGTCTTATTAGTAGATCCCGTATAGTAGATCCCTAGAATATTCTACGAAAATTTTAAGTTGATCCGGCAAATAGTTTCGGGAACATAAGCGCTTTCGTTCGAACTTTTTTTATTTAGTGTAATGGGATCCCAAAATGTAAAAGCATTTTTCTCGAAACGCTGTTTTCTGAATGGGTGAACAAAATTTCTCCGAAACGGCTGGACCGATCCACTTGATATTTTCATACAACCTTCGTAGTCATATAATTGCAGGAATACAATTTTCGATTATAATTTCGATTTTGTAAACCTAAGACTTTGAAGTCCCAATTTGAAAAAACTCAAAATTTTGAAAGGCCGTCACCCATTGCTTGTATTGATCTATAGTAATAATAAAGATTTTGGTTTTTAGATAATTGCAAACAGAAAAATTTTCCTCACCACCAGACACCTTTTTTCGGAGGTCCTCCTAGAGAGCGGCTGCGGGATCAAGGGAATTCAAATTTTCGAATATAAATCGCCGATTATTAAAGTACATTAAATTTTGTAAAAGTACCTTATTTTGATTAATTTTCTCAATAAAATGCCTCTTCAGATAAACTTTTATGACTTGCCGCAGGATATAACCCTCAAAGGTTAACTTTAGTTTAATGAGGATATATGGGAAATGAAACGGAATCTGCTATGTGTTTTTATTGTTTTATGTACATTTTAATTACATGGCATATAAATCTTTCCATTTAAGACCGACATATTTTTTTGTAAATATTCCTTGAAGCTAAAGGTTAACGCCCAAGCTCAAATTTTGGAAAGTTTGATAAAAATTATTCAATATGATCATCACATCACAAAATATCTCCTATTGTGTGGTCATATACACAATAGGAAACACAAAGATGTCGTCAAAGATCAAAATGCCACACAAACAAAGATAAGCCAAATTGCGAATATATTTCCCCATACATACATACATACATACATATACATAAATATTGATAGGGAAATTAAAGAATAATAAAGCAATATGCTTTGTGACAACACTACCAACGGTGCATGCAGGTTGAAAGCAGTGAGAACTATTTCAGCAATTTACTTGAGAAAAATTTTAATACAAATATATATATGGATATGTATGTGTAGGTGTGTTTATGTTCATATGTGCAATGTATGGAAATAACGAAGAGCATTCTATTTAAAGTTATTAGAAATTTGAGAGTAAGAAAGCGAATGGACAGTTAAGCGAGCGAGCACAAAGAAATTCCACACATACGCAGCCAGCTAGCTACAGGTGAGAAGGCAAGAAAATATTTTATAGCTGAAGAAATACAGAGAAAACGATATGTGTATGTTTGTATATTCTACGGTGGAAAAGGTGTAGAAAAGAATGCAAGGCAGGTGTAGAGAGGGTGTACAATAGGAGAAGGCATGCAAAAAAATTATGATTGTTTACTATGCTCGCATTTCTTATTATTTCTTTGTTTGGCTTTATAGGAATATTATGAAAAAGTGCACACACATACATGCATATAAGTACATAGATATTAAATACCGAGAATATTGAATGTAAAGAGAAAGTTTTGTATTTTCTGCTAGTTTACTTTCGTGCTTTCAGTTAATTTTTTTTTTTTTGTTTTTTTTTTTTGCTTTTAGTTCTACTTTTTGGTTTTGCTTTGCTAGGGAAGTGGGTTTGAGAAAATGCATACATACATATGAAAATATGTATATGTACTTACAGATTCGCTCAGTTTGTGTAGCGAAGCGTTAATGCGATCCGGATTGCGCGGCGGTGGTTCTGGTGGCTCAGACGCAGCCATTGTGGGACCAGAAGAAGTGCCGTTTATTTGCATAATATTCAATGAGTATTAGTGTTGTTTTGGTCACACTGTTCGTAATGGTGGTTAATGGGACAGAAGTGGTTTGAGTAGACAGTAAATTATGCTTTCTTGCTGTCTTTGGTTTTTTTTTTCGGCTTTCTCTTTTGCGTGTTATTACTTTTTCTATGGGCTTTAATTTTTTGTTCTTATTATCAAATAATAGTTTTGGAATTTGAATAATGCAAATAATTTCAATTTGATTTCATTTAAGTGATTTATGCTTTTAGCATTTTTGCATGTTTTAAAAGTAGTGAGTTGAACTCGAAATAATGGTTTGGCGTGTATTTTGTTTTTGCTAGTTTCTTTGATTGTTTAATGCTGCAACATCTGCAAAAAGAAATGAAAATATGTAATTTAAATCATTTATAAGCTGTTTAGTTTAAGATTGTGCAATAATCATTACATAAGTTTCTTTCTACTTTCAAATTAAAATCAAATCATTATTTTATTGCTTTCTTTATGTTTTGTTACTTTTACGATTTCACTATTTAAAGGGGGACTCGTGTGTATATGTTGATAAAATAATTGAATATATATGTATCAGAAAGCCCCGTTATCTGATGAGATTTCAAAGAAAGAAAACTGAAGAGGGTATGAAGAAAGGATTTAACCTTAATTAATGCACATTAAGCCTCTTGCTAACGAAGCTCACGTATTATGACATATTGTATTATTAAATATTTAAAAGGTTCTTTTAGTCGGCACCTAAGAGATTAATTTGCCATAAAAACCCTAATATACAAAAATAAAACCATGGTAGAGGGTATATATAATTCAAATGCCAAAAATAAAGAAAAAATCTCATTAAAAATCTATAATAAGTCTTATCGTTTGTTATTATTCGGGTCCTAATACTCCATTTCGGTGTAATGGAAGTGAGGGTTAGTGTATTTTTAAGAGCACCATAATAATGATGACCTGTATAAGTATTTTAATTTCAACCACTGCATACTTTCAAGGGCAAATACATGAAGGAAAAAGCAAAGTTAGTGTACACGCAAGCAAATGTATGAAAAGCTTTGATCCAGAAAATGTTGTTTGCAAAACGCTTAAACGATTGATATGACTATCTGGTGAGAGCCATATAGCAAATACTTCATTGCTGAGAGCATGTGCAAAAGTTCATATATCAAAAGCTGAAGGACAAGGTCTCGTCTATACAAACAAACTATTAACTACTATTCTTATCGAACGCCAAATTAGTCGGCGAGAATTAGATTAATTAAAAGGTTGAAACCACACAAACTACTCGACTAATGGGGAAAACTTAGAAACACTGGAAAATCGCATTATAGCCACGACAATATCCGACAGGACACCAATTGAATTCTAAAATTTAATTTACAATGTTTTTCTCTCATATCAAAGATATCTCTTCCAGAAATCATTTTGTCTACTGTATGTTAACTTGATATTTAATAAATAATTTTTCTGGGCGACTTTATAGCGTATATATCGGCTAAAATGTGAGATGTCTTAATAAATTATGGGAGCATATTTCCTTGAGTCTGAACTGGTGGCAAAAACTTGTAAACTCATAGTTCCATTCTCATATATCCAATAAACCCAATATATACATATCAGACAGACTGTGAAATATTTGAATGTATTCAGATGGAAATATTCAAGTTTTCTTTGAGATAATTTGAAATACTTAGAATTTCTTTTTTTTTTAATTGAATTCCTCGTTTCTTCAACATTTTTTTGTAATCAGGTGTTTTAAAGTACTATCTTCCATATATATAGAGGTCAAGTATATACTTATACATACATTATAAAAAAATTGGTCAGCTTGAGCCCGCATTTGAAGTAAAGTGCAAACTTTAGAAACATTGCAATTGTAAAGTTATATGCAAAAGGGATGAAAAGACTCAAATATAAGTGAGAATAATCATGTATAACGTACAGGCAGGAAACTAAGGAGTGTAAGCGTATTTAAATCATGGTCCAATACTAAAAACATCTGCATTCAAATATATTTTTCTAAGTGAAATTGCACTCATGCGTAGTCCTGGCAGTTCAACCAAAAGCGGGCAAATACACACACGAATAACTGCAAAGCATATTTACGGCAAATACATGCTACTATGATATGTGTATAGACATATATGTATGTACATACAAGTATATGATCTAGCATGTTCAGAACAGAAAGCGTGTTTTCTGCCTCGTTATTGAATTTGAGCGCTCGCCAATGAAAATGTACACTAAATAGGCGCATATGTATGTGTAAGAGGCATATATGTATAATATTTATTAGCGTGTATACATTGGTACCCAATAACCCAAATAAATTTCAAATTGCCTGTAAATGGAAAGCGACCAGGAGTCCGAAAAAATATACAAATAAAGAGAAATCCAATAGACTGCCAAGCATGGTGGATTTGAGAACTGAAAAAGGTGAAAAAGTTTTCATTTTTCGATCAAAAAATTCAAAAACAAAATTAAATTTCACAGCGCTTTTTAGTTACGGTAACTAGCAATATGCTGCAACCGACATGCTGGGGCAAAAAGTTCGCCAACTTTCGGAAGGTGAATCAATTTGAAAGCGTCATCGAGGCAAGCGTAGGTGCATAGTGCAAAAACAATACCGGCTGATACTGAGAAATGGTAGTAAATATATTGAGTAGGGCGAAGTTAAGTAAGCAAAAAATTGCTACAATTCGCTACAACTCAAATTGGATTATGCAAAATGTTGCGCGAGGGGAGGAATAGTGCTGGGTTTCCACTAATTAGTTGAACAACTTTATGAAAATTTGAGCTGCAGGCTACTCATATTTCACTCTCGGTTAGGGCTCGAAAGCTTTCACTGCTACGGTCGGTATTTTTATACTCTTGCAACATGCTGCTACAGAGTATAATAGTTTTGTTCACCTAACGGTTGTTTGTATCAACTAAAACTAATTACGATAGATGACTCCGCCTTCTAATAAGTTTAATGTACATATCTCCTAAACCATTCAAGCTATAATAACCAAATTCGCTTAAGGCACATATTTTTTGCATCCCTACCCACTCTCTGAAAATGGGTGAATTCGGATTATAACAGCGCCTACTCTGCATATAACGGTTTTGTTAAAAAATATTAAAAGTCCGGCTCGAAGGACCACATGATTAGTTATGCTATAATGTTAGCACTCACCAATGACATTATTTCTTCCATTTTTTCAACAAAACGCCTTTTTTAAGGTTTAAATTAAAATGTTCTTTGCTTTTTTTATTAAATGTTAATTTTCACAAATTTTTTATTGGTTTAACACTTTTTTTGATAAAGATTAATACCACGGTTTTAAGCCCAAAAAGTGTTGACGGTTGGTAGCGGAGATAGCGATTTTATACGATGACGTTGTGCAAAGAGATCGGAATTATTTCGAAAGTTTAAGGTTGATGTGGCGCTCAGGCCCGTGAACGAAAACGAATGTAAATATAGTATGTTGTTTGTCCTGTGTGGTGTCATCTGGTGTGGTGTATTGATGAGTATGTGGTGGGCATTATTAGGGGGCGCCAGTTTTTCCCGAGTAGAGTGGTGTACTTGGAGGAGGGAGTTTAACTCATTTAAACAGTCATTTATAAATAAATGTGCCAGAGTACGAACAATTAATGTTAAATAATTTGGCAACATTTTTAAGAATAAAATTTTACCAACACCTGAAAGTATTTCCTCGGTTTTGATCCTGGCAAGTTGCAAAAGTAAAAAATGTTTGGTTTCTACTTAGCCCTTCCTTACTTGTTAAAGGTGGTTTCGGCAAAAAAAATAAAATTAATTATATTACTAATAGTTACGATGAGTATAGAAAAACAATACGGGGTTAGGAGCACTAATTGGGTCAGTGATAAAATTCACTTGTCTATAAAAAGTGTATATTTTCCGATTACATCAGCATGCCTACTATAGCGAATGGATAGTGCGATAAATTTCAGAAATTTAAATCGAAAACTTTTAGGTTAATTTTAATTAAGTGAAGCTTCAGTCGGAAACAACACTAAATATTAAGAAAGAGCAAATTTAAAATGAAAGAAATCAATTGTGGAAGGAGAGGAATCTCCGCTAATAAAACGAAAACTGTCTTAAAATTATATTTATTCTATTGAGAAGTAACAAGTCGTTTGTATTATCTTAATTTTTATTCTGTATCTTCAACTAAAGAGCTTATCAGCTGTTTTTGGTACACTTATCCTTTAAGAGTGGAAGCATATGAGCGAATAAACTGGAAAATGTTCACTTATACTATAATGCATTTGAGCTTTTTACATATATATGTAGTTATTAAAGCAATTATCTAAAATGCACTAACACATACACAATTGCAGTACACATAACACATAATTGATGTCTGCAAATGTCATGTTGAAGTGACGACAAAGCTTGTCAATACCTTAGTCATCTCCATCGCATTAAATTGTAATTGATGACACTGCGATGATGGTGGAAGAGTTAGGAAAACATTTCCATCTAACAGTTGCTGTATAAATTATGAAATCTCTACACCTACACTCTACAATACACTAATGCAATTCGATTCGCCATTTCTCTACTCACTAACTGTAAGCGCTGCTCTTTCGTCAAAAATTGTACTTGTGAAACCAACAACAAAATGAGCGAGTTGAATTCCTTAGAAAATAGTAAGGGGATATCACAATAATGTGATAGTACTATCTATGAACGGCGTAACACTGCGAAGAATCTTTAAGATAGCTATAGTGGTCCGAAATGAAATCTCTTGAATTTGCGAAGGGTATTATAGCTTCGGTGCAACCGAAGTTAACGTGTTTTCTTGTTTTCTCAATATTTTAAGCACTTACAATATCTGTTTCACATATTTACAATATTTTAACTACAATATTTGCCTATGACTATAATCTGTAGATGAGCATTAATTTATCCTTTTACATCCTCACTTCATTAGCAGGCATTAAGTTCACACGCCGTCATGAACACGAAAATTCAATTAAGTGTGTGTATACAATTTTTCCAAAGCTCGAGTTACTTTAACATACGCAACACCATATACGTATTAGGGCAAACTACGTTAAGCAAAGCTCTCATACATACGTACTATACGTGTTTGTATTTCAAATTAATTTAACTGGATTATCAGTGTACCAACCTAATAAACTAACTAATCTGGACATATGCTATAACCACACTGCCGTGCAAAGCAATACAAATAAATATTTTCCGAGTATATAACGGTAAGTGAAGGAATATATTTATGTATACGGTCACAAATACGGAATTGCAGAATTGATTTGGCTTACTATGCACGGACATGAAGTCACTATTAAATTAACATTTATTGATACTCAATATGCAACATATAATAAGT